CGAGGTATTATAGAAAGGGATCATACCCACTTTGGGTGGAGCATAATTTCGAAGCCGAAGCAACGGGCAGGTTTGGTTGCTGGGGACATATTTGCCGACAACGAAATTGCAAACGAGCCTTAAAGCGGACTAGACGGGACGGATCATCCGGACGGTTTAATTTGAAACTGCAATTCAGGCTTTGGTCCCGACGTTAAAGTGGATAACGCACGGCTGAAACTGGGTGATTTCGTCGAATTCACGGGACACGTGCACGCTCGCCTGTACCAGTCGCGTTTACACGCGACAATGCGCGTTCAAAACAAAATCGGACGCGCCCGTGTTCCGGGAGGGAAACACGCGGAATCTCTCTTGTACGAGCAACCCCACTGTGTACTCCTGAAATTGACGTTCAAATCGATCGACTTTTGTACCGGAGAAATTGTTCCATATACTAATGAATCTACAGGGTGGATTCTTTCACGTGAATTCAAAAATTCAGAAAGCTCCAAGTATTGGAATATTACTCTAAACATTCAAATATAATAACCTACAGAATCACGATTTTACGACCACTATACCGTATACACAGTGTGTCCCATAAATCACAGTAAAGTAAAAAAAAAATAGTAGAATAGTAGAAACGAAGTTCTTTGATAGGATTACCTTCATCTCATCATACTTAATAACCCCCCCCCCCCATATAATCCCCTTTCACTGTTAAATCCGGAAACCAGTTTCTACATGAATATTACAAAACATCGTTCTAAAACTCCTCTAGAATTATTAAACGATTATACAATCTTTCACACACACGTGGAATTATCTGATACCGCGAAAAGGAGCATTGCGGTGATGGTTTACCAAAGGGAAAAAAGGCAATTGCGAATCCGCGTGGAAAGAGAGAGAGAGAGAGAGAGAGAGGAAACTGAGGAGAATAAAGGGAATTCAGGAACGATGTATAAATTTACGTGTGCACGGGAGGATTGCATGCGCCTGGAATACGGGGATGAACGGTCCCGCGATCCGAACGAGTTTCGGATTAATCCCGGGCGGAGACTGCATCCGATCTCACATCGAAATGCACTCGTGGATACGGCCAAGTGGTTACAACGGATCAACGCGGCC